CTGGGGCCCCTCGAGTTGCCATCCCCTATAGCAATCCCCTAAAGGTACCGAGTTACTCATCCATTCTGGTATCCTTCTCCCCCCCAAACCCTGGCACCTCTCCCAACACAGTAAGTCACATATCTTAAAAGGCTCCCTCCAATTTCTTCCTAAATCAAGTTGACACTCCCTGTAAGTAAGGTAACTGTTTTCCAAAACAAACATCCGGGCAACGGGTCCCACAGATTGGTTTACCTATGTGTAAGTCTGTTTTTGAGAGATGATTTGCATCACAAATATTAACACATTACTCCAACTAGAAACAGAAAAGCAATAAATCAGGATTGCTCCAGAAAATCTTTGGGGTATAAAATGAGCTCCCTCCCCTTTTCTGGGGCCCTGCTTAGGTTAAAACCCCTAGAAGTCTAATTGCCCCTCTCTGCACTCCTGTGCTATTCCGTTTATTCCCCCCCTCTGATTCCTCCACACCCACTCATCTTCCCCCCTGCAGCCTCTTCCCCATCGCCTGCCATTTCTCCTACAGGGGGGCTCCCCCAGGGCTGGTAGCCCAGAGCTGCTGCTACAGCCGCTATGGGGGGCTGAATTCCTCATCCCCCAGCACAGGTAAGTATTCTTCCCTCCTTGCCCTCAAATCAAGCAGGTCATGCTCATCGCCTGCTCCAGCCTTCCCATGCACATGCCTGGTATTTCCACAGGCAACCAAGAATGGAAGCAGGGGGAACAGGAAACAGAGAATAGGTGAGGCCTGATCCCCTCCCCTCCTGGCCTGCCCGCACCTCTGTCTCTTTTCCTAACATCACTCTCAGCTCCTTCCTCTGAAATCTTATCCGTCCAACTGGACTCCCCCCTACCCCCAAAAAAATCCTTCTACCTAACATCCTACAAGCCTGTTTCCCTATAAATTCAACTCTGGTACTTCCCTTGGGCACTTTCTGAGGTTTCCAGTTTGGACATAGCACCAGTGGTTCCATCATGGTCGTCCTCTACAGAAGGGCCAGAAAGACCCTGAGAGTCTGATCTTCCTTCCCCCTCAGAGCCTCTGCAACCCACTCTGCATCTCCCTCCCACCCACCAGGGCCGCCAGCCAGGAGACCTTGTCACAGGACGGGAGTGGGGAGGCCCCCATGCACACAGTGCCTCCACAGGCCCAGGCCCCCCCAGCCCAGCACTGCACAGTGGCGGGGGACATGTTCAACGCCAGGTTCATTCGCCACTTGCAGGAACGGCGCAGCACCAGGCCGTGGTGACTGCAGCCCCGCCGCACCTGCAGGCCTCCTCTCCCTGCGGGAGCAGCCACCGCCGCCTTCCCGTGCCTGTGTTCATCCACTCGTTCATTCATTCAACAGGCCTTCCTAGCAGTGCCCAACCATTTCTGTCCTCACCAAAGCAATAAAGTATTTTCATCACGAGAGCTACTGAGAAACCTGTCGTTATTTCAATCTCATCCTCTTCGCCCAGCATCTTGCGCAAGCGCCCGGGGTGGCGCGAAGCCGGCGGCCGCTGGCTTACTGCGCAGGCGCGCTAAGGCAGGCTCCGGCCGCTGGCGCAGGCGCACTGACGGCAGACCGGCGCCTCGCCGCTTCGCCAGACCTGCCGCAGTGCGCAGGCGCGCATCGTCTCCGTTTCCCTCTCCGCCGCCCTGACCCCCTCCTTTCTCCTTCAAGGAGCCGGCGGCGGGGCGCGCTCACCCCGCGAGTAGGGCAGCCGCACTCGGGAGGCGCCGCTCCCCGCCTCTGGAAGACATGTACCAACTCAGCAGGGGGGCGGCCAGGCGTCTGGGCCCGTGCCTCCGCGCCTACCAGGCTCGGCCCCAGGTGAGGAGGGGGCGCCCGGGAGGGAGGCGGGGCGGGGCGACCCTCCAGCCGTGCGAGGGCGGAGCGCGCCGTCTGCGCAGGCGCAGTGATGCCCACCGCCCTCCCTGTGTCGGCTGTGCGTGGAGGGCGAGGGTCGCGGACGCGGGAGGGGCGCTGCCAGCCCTGGTCGTTCCTCCGGGACTTGGGGGGCGTCCGTGTCTCCGCCACGGTCTGTGCATGGAGGTGATTTGAAGGGCGGGGGGCGGAGAGGTTCGCACGCACCCGGCGCGGCGCCGCCCGGAGTTACCGGTCCCCACCAGACAGACCTTGCACCCGGATAGCGGTCCCGGCAGGAAGGCGGCCTCGGACCCGGTGGACCCGGCTCGGGCCCTGCGCCCAGGTGGGCAGAATAGCCACGCCCCGGAGTGATGGAGTGACGCGGGACTCGGTCAGCCAGACTTTGGGTGACCTCCTTCCTCCGCATCAGTTTCAAGGTCATTGAGCAGGAGTGGAGTCCAGCCTTTCCTGGTCTCCTGGGCTGTGTCATCAGTGGGGCCCGAGCGACAGCTTACCTTTGTGCACTACTTTACAAGTCGCAAGGCTCGACATTGACTGTGGTTTGGAGCCTCGCCATGACTCGTGGGCTTCCTCCCCGACTGTGAGAGGATTTACAGGGAATGGGAGTGCTGAAGGGTGCACGGTGGGCTGGGTGCTCATTGGCTCCTGTTCCATTGGACGCACATGGTTGTGGAGTCTGCAGGCCACGCCTTTCACCCACAGCGCAATAAAACGCGATTCCTTCCTTGTTCTCTCTTCAAACGTGGATGAGAGCCTTGCTCCAAGAGCCGTGGAACTGCCCCCAAAGTATTGGAATCTTAAATGTAAAAGCATTTGCTAACCGTTTGGGGGAGGTGCTTGTCATAGAAACTGTTTCCTCCTGGAGATGGAGGTGAATCCACCCCTTTTCCTTGAGCAATTCCCCCTTCTGCCCGAGGAGCCGGTGGGAGTGGAAGTGTTCGTGAGAGTTTGGATGAAGGGCCATGGGCAGCTGGGTTATTGCTTTTCCTTTTGTTCTTCCTCCTTAGGACCAGCTTTCTCCACGGGCGCTGCCATTCCCACCCCTGTGGCCTCACTCCACGACGGCCACTTCTCCCTCTTCCCCCCTTTTCCGGTCTCCCGCACTCCCGTGCCCTCCTCCTGGGCTGCTTCCCGGAGCTCCCCCGTTACCTCTCCCTCAGGTCCCCGCCCGCAGCTCACCATGGGCGAGTGTCCCTCCAGGAAAGGGGGAGGAGGGACCAGGACCTGAGTTGCATAGTGGCTGTCTGGATGGGCTTAGGAGCCTATTTGAGGGACCTTCCTGCCCCTATGTTGGGGCTGTGCTATCTTTCCAAGCCCCTGTGACGGCCCGCCCTTCCCCTGCCACTCCGTCAGGAGACCCCAGTATGGAGGAGCACCTGGCTGTCATGTATGAGAGACTGAGACAAGAGGTAAGTCAATTCAAAAGGGACCTTCATCCACCTGGTGGGAATGCAGGTAACCTTGGAAATAGAGGGTTAGTCAACTGGATTCTTTCTTGGAACCACAAGGCAAGCATAGAAACATGTTACAGACATTTCCCAAGTAGAAGATAATCCTCGGTTTGGATTAAGGGAAGTTATACATGGCATGGAAATGACCTTTCACTCAGAGGGAAGGAGGCACTAAAAATAGAAAACGGAGAAATAGGATCATCGCTCCTTTCCCACTGGTGATGCCTTCTTCTTCCACCAGCTCCCCACTCTCTTCCTTCACTCCCATGACTATTCTCTCTACTCCTCGGATGTGGAGTTCATCAACGAGATCCTGCGCATACGTACCAAGTGAGTCTGTGCTAGGGAAGGTGCCAGGCTGCTGCTCTACATCTGCTTCCCATTTCTCATGCGGCTTGGCTTTCTGGTTCTGCATGAGATTTCTTTCCCATCCCTTCTTCTCAGGGGCCGGACGTGGTATATCCTGTCGCTGACCCTCTGCCGCTTCCTGGCCTGGAACTATTTTGCACAAGTTCAGTTGGAGGTTCTGCAGTTGACCCGCCACCCTGAGAACTGGACCCTGCAAGCCCGCTGGCGGCTGGTGGGGCTGCCCATCCACATGCTCTTTCTGCGTTTCTACAAGCGTGACAAGGAAGAGCTTTACCGGTAAGGGGCTGAGGAGGGACCCCACGCCACCACCCACTTTCCACACGTTCGTTTCAGGACTGGTGGTCTGGTCTCCTGGATAGCCCTTCCTCTCCCTGCCTTCACTGAGGTTCCTTGAGGGCAGGGGTCTTGGTTTAGTCTCCTTTACTGTAACAGAACTGGGACGGAGTACATGAGAGAACCTCTGAACTCAGCTTGTTCATGTATATCACCTGGCACATAGGTAGGAATTCAAATACTTACTGAACAAATGAAAACTCCTGCCTCGTAAGTTGAGCCTCACACCCTTAGGTAAAGTACTTGGTAAATTTCTGGCAAAGTAGGATCCCAAGAAATTGTTAGGCTTGCCCCAAATCAGCAGTTTGTAGACTGCTGCACAGTGGGATCATCTTGGTGCCAGACATTCTGCTTTGTGACGGGGTGCAACCTGGGCATCAGGATTTTTCAAAGTCCCCAGGTGATGTCATACTAGGATGTAGCACAGTTAGGGACTAGGAGTTTGAGCAAATGCTTGAATTAATCTTTGGGATCAGCCACCTTCCCCTTCAGCTTCTCTTCTTTCACCAGGACCTATGATGCCTATTCCACTTTCTACCTGAATTCCAGCGGCCTCATTTATCGCCATCGCCTAGACAAAGTGAGTCCCAGGGTGGATGGGGTGGGTGGAGGGGCAGCACCCCTGCTAATGCAGTAACTTCCTCCCGGCAGCTGATGCCCTCACACTCACCCCCAGTGCCTGTGAAGAAGCTGCTTGTGGGAGCCCTGGTGATGCTGGGGCTGTCAGAGCCAGAACCCAACTTACACCTGTGACCCAAGGCCTCATCCAGGAACTGGGGTGGGGCAGCACTGAGAACTGCTACACAAGAGGTGGGGTTGGCCAGTTTCTTCCCGCTCCTCCCCCTCCCGCCCTCCTTGCCATCTCATGCTGTGTAAAGCTGCTGTGTAATTTAACTTGTAAATAATAAAGTCTAAGTGAAAATATGAGATGGAATCTCCACATCACTTTCTCTAGCTTACAAAAGTTCTCACAAGCTTTATTCCAAAACTACTTTATTAATGGATATAAATAACATGGAGAAGATGGAGCTGATGTCGTGTTGTGTTTATGTTTCTTTTCTTTACCCTAGCTCTTCACGTGTCTTTCCTGTTTTTTTGGGCATTTTCTTGGCATGGGGATCTTCTAGCTCCTTGGCTTTATAATAGTGAGGTGCCACCTCCAGAAGCCAACTGCTCTCAATCTCCAATACCTAGAAGGGGGAGAAGCCAGCAGTGATCCCATCTTCCCTAGATTCTCACGTGTGAGCTCAAAAAGGTTCTGCCCTGGCCGGCTTGGCTCAGTGGGGAGAGCGTCCGCCTGCGGACTGAAGGGTCCTGGGTTCGATTCTGATCAAGGGCACTTGCCTGGGTTGCAGGCTTGATCCCCAGTGGGGGGCGTGCAGGAGGCAGCCGATCAGTGATTCTCTCTCATCAAGGTTTCTCTCTCTCCCTTCCTCTCTGAAATCAATAAAAAATATATTTAAAAAAGGTTCTTTCCCCTGTGGCTGCAGGAAGGCGCAGAGCTCTGCGCTGCCTGCCTGAGGCTGGCACACCTCCACGTGCCACTCAGGCTCCCGAGTGGGCTCTCCCTGAAGGCCTGCATGGGAACCATAAGTACACTTGGGGCCGAGGCCACACCTGCTTGGCTCACCACCATCCCCAGCACCGGCATCCGGACAACAGCCTTTCAAAAGCTCACGGTGCGATGGTCAGATCTCAGAGGCCTGAGCCAGCGTTAGGAAGGGCGTCTTTCTAGCTTACCCTTCCTTAAACCAGTTGGTTTCCCTGTTCCTCTGCCAGGCCCAGCGACTCGAACTTGGGTTTTGCTGGCCAGAGTACCACTCGTCTCTACAACCTCCACCCGCCAGGGCAGGGGGTGGAACCCTCACCTGTCGCATGAACTCCTTGGTGGTCAACACAAGTTCATGGTAGAGCAGCCAGCGAGGCTGTTCCTCAAAGAGGGAGGAGTTGGGGTGAATGAACACTGTCTGCTGCTGTTTCACTGTGCGGTAGCCGCTGCGAGTCAACCGTGCTGTGTGGTAAAAGTAACCGGCAGTGACGGCCTAAGGAGCAGCCAGGAGAGACCCTCAATGGGAAGGCCAGACCCCAGGGACCCTCAGCCCTCGCCACCTTTTCAGTTTTAGTTCAGGCTTCTGGAGAACTAGGAAGGGAAGGGTGCGTGAAGAGCCCCCGGGAGGAAACGGACCTTCCCCAGCTCAGGCAGGAGGGCTGCCCAGGCCTGGGGAAGCTGGCCTCTCGGAGCCTGGGGGCCGCGGGAGGAATGCTGACCTTGCGGACACGGATATAGTCCCCCTGGCAGGAACTGAGGCCAACTTCCACCCGCTCCAAGAGCCCCTCCAGCTGCTCTCGCACATCCCGGGCTCGGCGCATCGATCTGAACTGGACAAAGTTCTCATAGCACCACTGGGAAGAGTAACCGCTCTCAGCCCACTGTGGAGAGGGTTAAGGAGGGGGTGAGTGTATACAGGACCGGAGTCTCCCATGTCCCCCTCCTTCCCACTCTCCTGAGCCCAGCGACCTGTGTGTACACGTTTAGCAGAACCAGGTGGTCCCCCCCAGGGAGGAAGAAGTTGACGCGGGCGTTGTCCGCGTGGACGACTTTGTCCTTGGGCCGGTAGAAGATGGAGTTGTTGACGGACAGCATGGCGGCCACTGTCAGGATCTCCTCTGAGCAGCTGTACCTGGGCAGAAAGGGAAAAAGCTTGTGAGCTCAAAGCGAGACGTAGGGACAGACACATGGTGGGAGTGACCATTGTGTGGGCTGTGTCCTCCCATGGGGACCGCCCGTCAGCACAGGGCTAAGCACTCAGAGTAGCTAGATTTGGGGGCAGTGCCAGTAGCTCAGGGCTGTGATGACAGTTGCAGATGGACATCTGCAGAGGCAGGACAGGCCGCTGAGGAGGCAGAGGCAAGGTGTGCACTATGCATCGGGGAAAGACCGCTTCCTTTAGGCTCATGTGATGACCTCTGACCCAACCATGGCATTTAAAGGTGGTCCCTCCACAGCCACATCTAAATGCTCCAGTCTGAGCCTTAGGATGAGCAAGTCCCCAAACCAACCCTCACTCAGCACTCCTCACAGATGGAAAGTCTTCCACTTCCCTTCATGCCCCCAAACTTCCTATGTGTGTGTCAATCTTCCCCATTTCACATAATGACCAAGGACAGCAGTGTCTTACTGGCCCTTGTGGGCCTCACGGGGGGCAGGAAGAGTTCTCTAATAACTTATTTGTTACAGAAGAATATGGTAGAGAGAAAAGGAGCAAAATAACAAAGATGGCCGGTGTGGCCAGTTTGTGGGTGGGGGCCTGGCCGGATGGGGGGGACTCACTTCTCAGAAGCCAGGATCATTTTAGATAGCATGGGGTCCACTGGCAGCTCTGCCATCTTTCTACCAGACTAAGGAGAGGAAAGAGAGAGGGTTGAGCTGGTCCTCCCTCAGGTGTCCCTGTCCTCCTGCCCAGCCCACGGCCTCCCCCTCACCGTGGTGAGCTCCCCAAGGTGGTTGAGGGCTCCCAGAGCATACAGCTGCTCCAACGCCAGCAGCAGGGTCTCATACGGGGGAGGGTCCAGGAAGTCAAAGTGCATGAGGTCATGGATCCCTGCAGAGAAGTGAGGGCAGAACAGAGTCCCTTTACTAGGACCAGTGACTCCAGCCCGGCCTCTCGGGGAGGCCCGGGGACCCCAATCACCTAGGCCCGTGGTCAGCAAACCGCGGCTTGCGAGCCACATGTGGCTCTTTGGCCCCTTGAGTGTGGCTCCTCCACAAAATACCACGTGCAGGTGCGCACATACAGTGTGATTGAAACTTCGTGGCCCATGCGCAGAAGTCGGTATTTTGTGGAAGAGCCACACTAGGGGCCAAAGAGCCGCATGTGGCTCGCAAGCCACGGTTTGCCGAGCCGCAGTTTGCCGACCACTGACCTAGGCTCTTGAGCAGCAACACCACATTGCCCAGGCTGGTCCTCTGGATCTCGGGCACCGTGGTTTCCTCCAGCTCGTGCTGATAGGCCCAGGCGGTGTACAGGCGGAAGCACTTCCCGGCCGCCACCCGGCCAGCCCGGCCCGCTCGCTGATTGGCTGAGGCCTGGAAGGAAGGAAAGACAGGCCGGCTGACAACTGGGTGAGGGAAAGAGAAAGGGCAGTGTTTATGCAAGGAATCTAGGAGGCTGTGGTTCCGTCCTCTAAGCGCCCCCCCGGCTTCTGAGTAGGGCCTGCCTGTGGGTCCATTCTGCCTCCCGCTCCACCATGGAGATCCCCTGGAGCCCGGGCTGACCTTGCTGCAGGGTGTGACCGTGAGCGACTCCATGCCTGTGCGAGGGTTGTAGCTCTTCTGCTTACAGAACCCTGGATCCAGCACGTAAATGATGCCCTCGATGGTGAGTGAAGTCTCGGCGATGTTGGTTGCCACAACCACCTGAGGGAGAGGCTGTGGGTCACTCAGAGACCCCAACCTCCCAGCTATGTAGGAAGAGGAATCCGGGGAGATTTGGAGTAGACAGCAGGGGCAGATAAGGGCAGGAGCTGAGGGAATTCGTGTCCAGTCCCAGGGGGACAGGCTGGGAGGACGGTGAAGGGCAGCGGGGCTCAGCAAGGGCATGACATGGAAAGGAAGTGGAGAAGAGGTTGAGGTTTCAGAGCTGGGAGATGGGGCCGCCCGGTCCGTGGCATCCGGAAGGGTCCTTTTAAAACGCACCTCCCATCACTCCCCTGGCCACCGCTTCCCGTCCTGCTGGAGAGTTACAGCCACGCCCGCTCGGCGCGAGCCCTCGTGACCTTGTCTCCTCTCAGGGCCCCAGCCTGGCTCCCTCCTCATCCAGTTCAAGCCTCTGCCTCACTTTCACTTGACTGGAGAGGGGAGGCTTTCCCTACACGCCCAGGACAGTTCCCGCCGAGCCTCACGCCCCTGCTGCGCCGTGTCTCCTCCCGGCACTGTCTCCTAACTTACCCCACTGGGAGCTCTCGAGGCCAGGACTCTGTCTCACCGATCCCACCCCAGAACAGAACCTGTGAGAACCCGTTCGATATTTGATGAAAGTTACACTTTGTTCAAAATCCTGTGGCTGCCATTCAGTCTAAAGTCCGAACTCGTGCACCTGCCACCCGAGGCCCTCCCTAACCTAGTCCAGATGTGGTTTCGCCCTGTCTCCCACTGCTTCTCACGAACCTTCCACTGAACCTGCACTCTGACCTCAATCGCACCTTAAGCCTTCCTCGGACATCCCTGCATTCTTACAGGTGCAGACAAATTCCCACTCCCGCCTGCGTTCGTGTCCTCTTTCCAGAGCCGGCACTGAAGCCCCCAGCACCACAGGGTGGAGCGCAGGTTTCTGCAGCTCTCACCTTGCGTGCCCCGGGGGGCGTGGGCTGGAAGATGCGGGCCTGCATGTCGGAGGGCAGGTTGGCGTAGATGGGCAGCACCAGCAGCTCCCGGATCTTGGAGCCCAGGCGGCGGCAGCGGTCCTGGAGCATCTCGCAGGCAGCCTCGATCTCCTCCTGGATTTGGGGGGAAAGCAGCAGGGACCGATCACAGAGGCCGCCCTGGACCTGCCGGCCCCGTCTTCTCTGGGACCCCCTTACCTGTCCCGTCAGGAACACCAGGACGTCCCCGGGGGGCTGCGTCACGTGGATCTGCAGCACAGACACCACACAGGCTTCCAGGTAGTCGGCCTCTGGAGCCTGGTGAGGAGAGGGCACAGGGAGGCACTTGCTCAGGCAGCCTCGTCCTCCCCGCTCCACTCGCTCGGTCCCGTCCCCTGTGGACTCTCCATCCACCCTGCCCTCCCCCGCCTCATGCCTCACTCTTCAGTCCATCCTCGGGGAGCACCTTGGTATAGAAGATGTCAACTGGAAACCTGCGTCCAGGGATCCGGAAGACGGGGGCGTCATCAAAGAAGGTGGAAAAGCGGGCAGTGTCCAGTGTGGCCGAAGCCACCAGGACCTTGAGCTCAGGTCGGAAGCGAGCCACATCTTTGATCAATCCAAAGAGGATGTCCGTGTGCAAGGTCCGCTCGTGAGCCTCATCCACCATCACCACGCTGGGGGAACAGGGAGCAGTGAGCGAGAAGAGCAGGCCATGCAGGCGTGGACGTGGGGTCCCCCGGATGAAGGGCAGCTAGAGACAGAGCCCAAGGGTGAATGTGGGATGAGGGGCTCCAGGAAAGGGAATCGCCGTGAAGTAAGACCAGCAGAGAGTGGGGGAGACCAGGCTCTATGGCCCGCAGCCTCTCAGTGGGAAAACAGCAGCTTCCAAGACCTGGGGTTGGAGGGCGGAGCCAAGATGAGCCAGACCTCCCTGTGGGTCTGAGTCAAAAGTCTGCTGCAGTCACAGAAGCGGGAAGTGAGGGCAAGGCCTCTTCCCGTCAGGCTGGCTGGGCGGGCGGCGGACTGTGCCATCACGATCCCCAAAGCCAGCAGCTCCCAGACTCCTGGGACTGGCGAGCCTTCCAGCCCGACCTAGCGGCTCTGCAGACTTCTAGGCCTCCTCCTGAACCAGCTATTCTGTGCACTTTCTTTCTCCTTGTTCTAGTCTTTGGGTTTCTGGTGGCAACCAAGCCTGTAGGAGCTCATGCCCCACCTCAACTCTTTGCATGAACCCTGGCCGGATGGGGAAGCCCCAGCCATTTCCTGCTGGGGTTGATGGGAAAGTCCTGCACCCCAAACGCTCTGGCACCGGCTGGCCTTCCGTGGGCTCTGAGAGCGTTTTGGAAGGGGTGTAAAATGTCAAGTCTTATTTGTCCTATGGCTGTACTCTGACCTTCTAGGACCAGAACTTCGCACCCTCTTGCTCAGCTGGCCTGACCCCACCCGCATCCCACGCAGGAGCCTTCTGCCCTCAGCACGTTACTACCTGCCCCTGCGGGTCAGCGCAGCACTGAGACCCACTCATGAGCAACCTGCGGTCTCGCCTCCACGGCGCCTTGGTCCTGATCTGAGTCTCCTCTCCTGTGACACCCCGTGGCTCCTAGATGTGCTCTCTGGGGTCCCCTAAGACAAGTGTGTCCCTAGCCGGTTTGGCTCAGTGGATAGAGCATTGGCCTGTGGACTGAAGGGTCCCAGGTTCGATTCCAGTCAAGGGCATGTACATGCCTGGGTTGTGGGCTCGGTCCAACGTGCAGGAGGCAGCCAATCAATGATTCCCTCTCATCATTGATATTTCTATCTCTCTCTTCCTCTCCCTTCCTCTCTGAAATCAATAAAAATATACTAAAAAAAAAAAAAAAAAAAAAAAAAAAGGCCAAGTCTGGCCCCTCTCCCATGTGGCAGCGGGACCAGGGTATCTCCTTGAGTGTCTCCCCTGGAAGCTGAAACCCTAAGTTCCTTCGAGTGGTCTTCAGCCTTTCAACGCCCCCGCACTCCACCCTCCATCCTGTTTCTAACCTCTGGGAACAGCTGCAGCCGGAGGGAGGGGCTTTCTCTGCAGTTCCTCTAACCTCCAGCCCATCACTATGGAACCCGGAGGTCAGCTCTGGGCTGCCGGGGTCACCAAGGTTCAAGGACTGGCCATGGCCAGAGGGACGGGTGAGAAGAAAGGAGAGAAAGGCCAGAGCTAAGGACGCCCAGGAAGGCGCTGAGGGGAGGAGGGCGCAGAGCGGGGGAGGGAAGGCGCTGGCTCTCCTGTGGGAGACGGGCCGGGCCTACCTGTAGCTCGCCAGGTCGGGCTCCGAGAGGAACTCGCGGAGCAGCATGCCGTCGGTCATGTAGCGGAGGACCGTCCGCTCTGACGTGCAGTCCTCAAAGCGGATGCTGTAGCCCACCTGCGAGGCCATCAGCGTGCAAAGTGGGCTGGTGCTCTCTGAAGGGAGTGTCGGGCCAGGCAACGAGGCCGGCGCCCAGACATGCGGTGCGGGGCCCTCAGGGCCGTGTGGGTTGAATCCCAGACCCCTGGGCTCCCCTCACCCGTCAGTCCCTCCAGAGCTCACCTCATTCCCCAGCTTCACGCCCATCTCCCGAGCGACTCGGGCGGCCACACTCATGGCGGCCACTCTCCTGGGCTGGGTGCAGGCGATCTTCAGACCCTTCTTTGTATAACCCTGAACGACAGAGAACGGTGAGCTCCTCCCTGGCCAGTAACTCAGCTTGGTGGGAGTATTGCTCTGACACACCCAGGCTGTGGGTTTGATCCCCGGTCAGGGCACATACAAGAATCAACCAATGATGCAGAAATAAGTGGAACAACAAATCAGTGTTTCTCTCTCTCTCTAAGCAATAAACAAAAAAGGAAAAAGAAGAGGTCCTCCCTTTGTTAAATATAGCACTGGCACCTAAGACAATTCAGAGAAAACAGTCGTAAATGCAGGGTAAAGGCGGGGGGGGGGGGGGGGGATGTCGGAGGGAGCAGACAGACAGAAGCTGAAGCCCAGACAGGGAGGGCAAATGGATGGAATGGAATGGGAAAACCCGGGCATCCCCGGGTCTTAACCAGCCCTGGGAATCCCAGCCCTTTGCGGATCAAGTTCTGGGCTCAGTGGACTGAGTGTCGACCCACGCACCAAGAGGTCACCAGTTCGATTCCCAGTCCGGGCAGGTTGGGCTTGATCCCTAGTAGGAGGTGTGCAGGAGGCAACTGGTCAATGTTCCTATCTCTCTCTCCCTCCCCTTCCCTCTCCCCAAAAAATCATTAAAAAACATTAAAGAAACGGTTCTGGGCTCAGTGAGATTTGAGCTGGGAAAGGACAGAGCAGGTGGGGCAGACTCAGGAGCAGGGATGCAGGCTCTCCACTCCGTGGAAGAACAGAGGCCTCGCTGGACTGGAGTGAGGGCCCCTCTCACACCACCCCCACCCCATACACTGCCTTCCAATGGGGACAGAGAACGCCCCCCAGCCAGGCACGGTGGCGGGAAGTGAGAACAGAGACAGACGGGTATGTGCTCCAGACCCCCCCATCGAGTGGGAAAGGGAATGGCTAGCGTGGGGAGGTGAGCAGCTCCCGAGCTCAGGTAAAGGGCTCTGACAGGAGCCTGCTCAGCGAGGGGCGGGCCGGCCCTGGCGTGGGGATGCCGCACCTCCTCAAAGAGATACTGCGGGATCTGGGTGGTCTTCCCCGAGCCGGTCTCGCCCTCGATGATGAGGACCTGGTGACTCGCAATGGCAGCCAGGAGCTCCTCGCGGAAGGGGAACACGGGGAGGCTGCGGCGCACGGCCTGGATGCACTCCTGCTGCTGGGCCTGGGTGGGAGAGGGCGGAGCTGCCGGCTCCTGGGAAGGAGAGGGGCGTGAGCATCAGGGCCCGCTCCCCGTCCTCCTCACGAGGTCCCCGTCCTCCTCACGAGGTCCCCGTCCTCCTCACGAGGTCCCCGTCCTCCTCACGAGGTCCGGGGCTCTCCCTTACCTCATCGCCCTGCAGCTGAGTGGCCCGGACAAACTCGATGGTCTCCTCTTCCTCGAGTACCAGCTGGTACTTGGGCTCCTGGGAGGCAGGGCGGCGGCCCCCAGCCGGGCCTGGCGGCGGCCCCCAGCCGGGCCCGGGGGCGCCCGATTCCTCCTCCACCAGATCCACAGCTCGCGCTGGCTGCAGGGCAGGCATAGAGGGCAGTGAGCAGGGCGGGCATAGAGGGCAGTGAGCAGG